GCGCCAGCAGGCGCCGCGCGAGGTCCAGGCGGCCGGCCGCGGCGGCCGCCGCGAGCGCGGCGCCGCGGCCCCAGCCGGGGAGGGCGAATTTGCCGGAGGTGTGGTGCTCCAGCGCAGAGCCCAGCCGAAGCGCGCACGCGTCGCCGGCGGCGGCCGCCGCGTTGAGCACTTCGAAATACTCTCGTGGTGTGATGACGCGGGCGGGGTCCAAGTACACGCCGAGTGGCTCGCCATGACTCAGCTGGTGATAAGGGGCTGATGTCACCAGCCTGGCGCCCAGCGGCGCCGCCACCGCCTCCGAAAGTCGCACCTCCCGCACCATCGACGCGACCAGCAGGCAGAAGGCGCGCTCCAACGCCGCCGCGCGCGCGGCCGGCGGCGCGTCTGGGCCGGGCATCTCGAACGCGGCCGCGTCGAGGCCGCGAAGCGCGTCCGGCAGCAGCAGCTCGCCGCCCCCGCTCACGTTGCAGCCGCTGCCCGCGCCCTCGGCGGCGCCGCCGCACGGGGCCGCGCCGAGCAGCGCGCTCAGGAGTCCGCGGCTGCGGGCGTCGAGCGTCGGCGCTGCACTCACAGGCCCGTCGCCGCCTTCGACCTCATCGGGCCCTGATCCACTGCCGCAGCTCTCACCGCCGGCGCTGCAGGCACCACCGCGGCCGCCTGCGCTGTGGGCGTCCAGGCTGAGGCGCGTCTGCGTGTCGCGCAGCGGGTGCTGCGCCCACCACTGGAGTGCGGGGTCGCCGCCGCAGTGCGCTGCGCCGAGGGTGACTGCCTCGGCCTGCTGCGCGTGCAGCAGCCACAGCAGGACGCCGATCGCCAACGCCAGCGGGCCCGGGGACTCGCCGCCGTCCCCGCTGCCGCCACCGCCGCCGTCCCCGCTGCCGCTTGCCCCGACGCCGCCGCCGCCGCCGCCCGCGCCGTCCCCTTCACCACCATCCCCAAAGGTCAATTTGCCATCGGCGCAGCCGTACCTTGAGCGCTGCACCCCAACCCACGCCCTGGCCCCCTCAGCGCCGCCGCCGTTCCTGCTGAGCCACTGTACGCAATCCAGCATCTGCAGCGCCGGCCACGACGCGAGGTCCCGCTGCTCCGCCGCCCACAGCAGCAGCGACTTTGCCAGCACACACAGGCGCGCGGCCGGCCACAGCCTGCTAGACAGCTCGGCGACGCGCCGCCCGCCCGCCAGGCCCTCGCCCCAGCCCGGGCTCTTGAGCAGGGCGCGTTCGAACGACCCTTGTTGTGCTGTCGGCAGCCAGCCGCGGTCGGCGCACCACAGGATGCTGCAGAGCGGCCACTCCTCCCAACAGAGCACGCGCGCGATGCAGTCGGGCAGGCACATGCGCTGGTACGGGGCTGCACTGGAGGGCAGTTCGGACAGCGGGCGCGTGCTGCCCCGCGGCGGGAGCGCGCGCATGTCAACGCCGCAGATCCCGCCGAGCGCGAGAAGGACGTCGGCGCGCGCCGGCTGGCCGGTCGCGAGCGCGGCCATCACGCACTCCAGCAGCTGCTCCGCAGAGAGCAGCTCGCGCCGCGGCGCCGCCTGTGGTGGCCGGGCAGCGCGGGCGTTGGCATGGATGAGCCACGCCACCAGCAACGCCCTGAACCGCGCCGCCGCCGCCCCTGCAGCCATCGAGTCGCCAGCCTCAAGGGGCGGCCCGAGGTGGAGCGCCGCGTCACCGCCATCCCCAGCTGGGGCGGTGGAGCTCGTGGCTGCGTGCAGCGCTGCCCAATTCTCTTCTGCAAACATCCAGGCGTTGTGGTCCAGGCCGTGTGCCGTGCACCACCGCTCGCACGCGGCGCTCGCAGCTGCATCAAGGACTGCAACGCCGGCTGTCTCAGTCGCAGAGATCCCGGTTGCGTCCCTCCACTGCCCGCTCCCCTCTGCCTGCTGCTGCTGCTGCTCCTGATCCTGCGGCTGCTGCTGCTCCTGATCCTGCTGCTGCTGGTGCTCCTGATCCTGCAGTTGCTGCTGCTCCTGCTCCTGCTCCTGCTCCTGCTCCTGCTCCTGCTCCTGCTCCTGCTGCTCCTGCTGCTCCTGCTGCTCCTGCTGCTGCCGGTCCTGCTGCACCAGCCACTCCACCAGCAGCACCACGCGCCAAAAGTAGGCCTCCGGCGGCGGCGAGAAACGCGCCTCACTCACCGCAGCCTGCCACGCACGGCCCGCGCTGCCGCGTGCGTTGGTAGCCCCCCGCGGCGGCGGCGGGGCCGGCCCCAGCACTGCGCCATACAACAGTCGCCACAGCGCGCCCAGCGGCGCCACGCGCTTGCCTAGCACGCGCAGCACGGCGTCGTCGGCGCCGCCGTGCAGGCTGGCGGCCTTGAGGACGTCGGACCAGAATCCGCGGGCCTGCAGCCGCGCCCTCTGCTTGCTGGCGCTGGGGTCGCTCGATTCCGCGGGTGCAAGGTGGGGCGGGGCCCTCTGCAGCACGGCCAGAAGCACCTGCGCCGCGAGCGGGTCACGCCGCTCGGCCGCCCACGCCACGTGCTGCCGGTCGGTGTTGAGGCATTGCGCCTGGCGGGTGCAGCGTAAGAGAGGGCCCGCAAGTTTCGTTGACGGCTTTACTTATGGGGGGAATCAAAAGCAAGCACTCTTATCTACCAGCGTGGGCCCATCTGCCTCAGAGACGCTGACTTGGCACTGGCCCAGAAGGGCCTGTGTCACACATCAGGATTCCAATCAGAGCTTGTCGCGCTGGGCCCCACCTTGTGCATCACCATGTCAGCACAGTCCGGGTGCCCGTATTTCACCCAGTGCTGCAGCAGCAGGCGGCGCTCCCTCTTGCAGCTGGGCAGCCACGACAGCAGGGTGGGCACCAGGTGCACGTGCCCGCGCATGACGGCCACGCGGGCCGCGGCGGCCGCCACTGCACCGCAGGTCGGGGGCAGAGTGGGGGTAGAGTGAAGGGTGCTGCTGTGCGCAAGAAGGCGGCCGGCAGCTGCTGTGAGGCGTCGCTCCCACCCAAACACGCATGCACTCGCATGCCGCAGGGCTGCAGTTGCCCGCCGCCGGCGGCGTCGCTAGACAGCCCCGCGCTCGCAAAGCCGTGCGCATGAAAAACGAAAGTTTGGGCGTCCAGCATTTTTCCGCACGCGACTCACCATGTGCGATCCAGACCTTTTCGCCCCCTATCCAGAGGATCGTCCTTTCCCAATAGGGCGGCACGCGGCATGCCATGCGAACGGCGTCGGCATTGCCGGGACCGGCTGCGTATGCCGCCACGTGCTGCGGGTGCGCCTCGTCACTCCGCCCGTCGGCAAGCTCGAGTGCTGCCAAATACGGGTCAGGCCCATCGAGAGCCCTGGACGCACAGGGATCACGTGTGCAGAATGGAGGTTAGGGTGGCTGGGAGGGCAGGTGGCGAGGGCCGCGGGCGGCATGAGCATAGGAACGCCGCCGCGCATGTCCCCCACGGCCGCCGCAACCGCAGCCCTCCGTTGCAGAGGGACCGTGGACGCCGGGGTGGGCCGCACCTGCGAGCCTTGAGCCTCGCGTTTTCGTTGTCTGGGTAGAGAATCTCATGGGCGCGCTCCATCATGGCGATTGTCTCCGCCCACGGCCGGTCCCGCAGCAGCGCAAAGCTCAGGACTGCAAACGGCAGCTGCAGCTGGGGGTCGGGCCTGTGGCGCAGGAACCACTGCAACTGCAGCTCAGGGTCGGCCGCCACCGGCCCCAGCGCGCTGCAGGATGCCAGGAAGCCGCTGGGGTCGGCGCAGCGCATCACGATGTCGGACAGCAGCGCCCGGGGCAACGCCAGCACAACGCAGCGCGCTTCGCCTGTGCTGCTGCTGCTGCTGCTGCTGCTGCTGCTGGCGGCCCGCCAGCAGCCCCCAGAAGAATACTTTGCGTCCTCTTGGTCGTCCATGCCGCCAATATGCAGGCCCAATCACCCCAGGAAATAAAGCGCCCGGGGGGTAACGGTACGAGGTTGCGTCCCGTCGCAAAAATTGTCCTGTGGTGATGGAGAAACGGCCGCAATCGTTGAAATACGCCATGTGCTACCGGTGTGTATCCCCGCTCACCGATGCGACCAAAATGAGACCAGCGGTGACCCGAAATTCAGACTCGGTTCTGACCTGGCCAATGCGGTGACACCAGAGTGCCACAATTTGCTGTGAAATGCATCCTTCGCTGGGATATTACTAGCTCCTAATCTTTCACTTTTGAGCGGCACATTCTCGGCCAGCATCGGACAGCACAACCGGAGTCGCACAGACCCAGCGCCTCCAATGCCCAGCAGCAGTTGGTGCGAAGCTCCCCACTCGGCACAATACACGGCAACCCCTGCCAGCTACTCTCATGGGCATCACTCTGCCATTGTACACCCTCCCCCCCCGGCCTCTCCTGCATCCGCCCCTGAATCTGCCTGAGCATTCAGCCCACCCTGGTAATTGTCCACAGTCACGGGCACATACTTCCCTGCCCGGCGACACCAATGACCGATCTCGTGGCCCAACAACGCACCCTCCACGCTATACGAGCGTGCCCACCACCCACCTGCGCTACCAGCTGGCATTCCGACTTGAGCGCCAGCCCCGCACCCCATGGCAGCGGCTTCCCGCTCGGCCCCACCGCCATTTGCGGCATCAGCACCTTGACGCGGAACAATACGAGGGCCCCCGCGCAGGCCAGCACGCGCAGTGCAGCGGGCGCTTGCGGCACCAGCGCGCCGGCTTGTGTCGGCCGGGGGCAATCGCCAGGCTGCCACAAGCCCAGCCACTGGTGGCTCAGTATCCGCTCTGATTTTGGGGCCGTGCTCCGCGGCGCACTGCGGCTCGAGTGCAAAATCCACAACCTTGGACTCTCTCGCCGGCACGTCCGCGCGCGCCGCTGTCAGTGGCCGTGCCAGCAAGAGGATGTGGTCCAGCGCTGCCCGCATTCCTTTGGCGTGCTCGGCCGTTGGCGCGCAAGGCTGCTTGACAGCACGCCTGGCCATGGCGGCCTCGAATGCGTCCCTGTGGGCAGCGCACCCTGCTGCGCTTGGCAAACCCCTCCGCGTTGTGTGCAAGACAAGACGCGATGGAGAGCTGGTCATGCTCGGCACCACATCACCATACCGCTGCAGTCTCGGTGCGATACTTCACCCCGTGCTGCAGCAGCCGGCAGCCAGGCGGCTCTCTATCTCACAGCTGGGCAGCCACGACAGCAGGGGGGCACCAGGTGAAAATCACAGTGCACAACGGCCACGGACGCCGCAGCGACCACCACAAGAGCACAAAACAGGGTCGTGGTGCTGCTGCTTGCCACGCAACCGAAACCCCGCAAGCACCACGCGAGTGCTTCTGTGCGCCGCAGTGTGCTCCTGCATCCATGAACAGCAGGCCGGCGCTGCAATAAGGTACCAGCGCTCTCAACCCTCTGGTCGGGCCCCTAACTCACCTCGGTCGCACCCTCAACACCGTCAACCTGGGCCAGACGGAGGGGCGCGTGCAGGCCTGGCGCATAGCGAGCGCCAGCGTTGCCGGGAGCGACTCGCGCCGTCGGCAAGCAGAGCGGCCGCCAACACCAGGTGCATGCTGTGGACGGCTCCGCAATCAGGCGAGGCGGGCTCACGTGGGCCGGGAGGGGTGAGATGATGCAGCAGCGAGTGCCGACTCGGCACTTGCGAGCTGGCCTGAGTCGCGCACAGCCAAAACTGCGTTGCGGGCCCAGGCCTGGTCATCGCGCCGCTGCACCTTCCGTTCATTGCCCCTGGCTTTGCTTCTCCTCAGGAAGACATAATCGTGGGCGCACTCCGTGAGTTGGACTTTTCCATGGCCGTCCCGGCATCCAAACGGTCACGGCCGCGCAGTGCTGTGTAAAGCGGGCGGCCGGCGGGCTTATGGCGGAGGAACCACCATTGCAACAGCTCAGGGTCTGCCTCCAGCGCTTGAAATGTGCGGTAGGGTACTATGAAGGCGCTGGGATCGGCGCAGCGCAGCATGATAGTGGCCAGCAGCGGTTGCAGCACTGACGTTTTCCGTTGCCTGAACGCAGCAACACGTCAACCCTCTGGATTTCGACCCAAATCATTTTATACCTAGATTTGTCATCAACAATCCCGTTACACATCTGCAGGCAGTCTGTGCGCCGTAGTGAGATCAGCTGACCAGCGTGGTGACGGCTGAAATTGCTGCGCACCGCTCACTGTGCACGTCACGATTGCCGCCATCTTACGATGTGTATTTCTAATCTCACATACGGTAAATGCATCGCCTCTTGCGTCCTCGCTCCCTAGCACACCTGCTGCGAGTGACCCCTCGCCAGCCTGTTGTATATTCGCTCATAAGACCACGTTCGATTGCAACGGGGTGCCGTGGACCGCGCTGTTTTGGCGCCATGGCGCCTGCAGCAGAAGCTGCGACAGTGGACGGCATGACGCCCAGCAAGGCGACAGCGGCGTCCGCCGCAGCAGCCGCGATAGACCCTCTGACGTGGCGCATCACTAGCGAACACCTGGATCCCACCCTCCCTCAGTCGCGGAAGGTGCACCTTGTGGTGCTGAACTGGCACCTGCCCGCCCTGACGGCGCGCCTGTGGCAGCTAGGTGCGCATTGACATTTTGGGCAAGCGGGCAGCTGCTGCAGCAGCGGCACATGATTCGAGGCGGCCATCGCGCCAAAGGCAAGACAGCTGATTCCCGTACGAAGTACACTTGGCTGCGACCATGCCTGCATCGGGACCCCCCAAGCGCCTGTTATTCACCCCTCACGGCCCGCCCCAGCACCCACATGAATCCCAACCCCATCCCACCTATCAACTGACGCCGCCCCCTTCCTCTGGTCAGCTTCCACGCGGCTCTGCGCCGACGGCGGCGCGAACCGCCTGCACGACGAGATCCCTTCCCTGGCAGCGGCGGCAGGCATCCAGTCGTCCGGCCCCGACGCCGCGCGCGCCGCGTTCCTGCCAGACCTGATAAAGGGTGATCTTGACTCGGTCAGGGCCGACGTGCGCGCCTACTACACGTCCCGCGGCGTGGCCATGGTGGACCTGTCTGCTGACCAGGACACGACAGACCTGACTAAATGTCTGGCCTACCTGGACGAGGTGATCAGGGGCGCGAACGGCGGTGCGAACAGTGGTGCGAACGGAGGCGTCAACGGGAGCTGTGGCGAGAACGGCGGGACGGACTGTGCCGAGGCGCGCAGCAGTGGAAGCGGAAGGGGTGGCGGCGGGAGCGATGGCAGCAGCGGCAGCAGCAGTGCGGCGGCAGACGCCCAGGCGATGGCGCGGCGGCTGCGCGACGAGCATGCAATTGTTGTGCTGGGTGAGTTGCCCGGAAAGACTTGTCAACCGAGGGCACGAGTCTCCGGATGATGTGGCCAGCTGGGGCGGCGGAGCAGGCATGTTGAGCGAGGATGCGACGCAGAGTCTCTCAGCACGCTCGGCGGCACTCCCTGCCGCTGCCCTGCTTGGCCTCCCTCCTGCGGCGTGCGCACCGCTCCTGATCGTCACACTATTGGCCCAGCCTCATACTGCAGCGTCTGCAGGCCTCCATTCTCAGGTCGCTCTTTGAGCGACGCCTCCCCGTCCACGCCCCCTCAGGCGCCCTGGGCGGGCGCCTCGACCACATCCTGGCGCACCTCAATACGCTCTACTCGTTCCCCCAACTGGACATCACCCTCTGCGGCGACGGCAACCTCGTGCGCCTGCTGCCGGCCGGCCGCTGCGTCGTGGCGCCGCACCCGGCCATGGAGGGGCCGACGTGCGGGCTGGTCCCCCTGACGGGGCCGGCGGTGGGGAGCTCGCGGGGGCTGAAGTGGGACCTGGACAACACCGAGGTGGGCTTCAAGCGCGGTCCGGGGCTGGTCCGTGCAGCTGTTCAAGGACGGTGCCTGCCTCGCACCTGGCGTCTTGCATGCTCTCTTCCTCTGCTGCTTCGCTCTCCCATGTTCCTGCCCTTGCTGAATCTGGTCGCACCGCCCACCGCGCGCCCGCCTGCCGCCGCTCTCAACGACAGTTGCGCTTCCGCGGCCTCATCAGCACCTCAAACATCATTGAGGGCTCCGAGGTTGACGTCACGGCCAACGAGGACCTGATCTGGATCACTGAGTTCAGGGAAGACACCCGGGGCACCCCCAGCGGCAGCGGCGGCGGCACGGGCAGCGGCACCGGGCACGGCGAGCCCATCAGCAGCAGCGGCGCATACGCGTAGGAAGATTTTGGCTGGCTGTGCTCTATGGTTCCAGACCCTGGCAGACATGCTGAACAAGTATGCTCCAGCTGTATTCGCAGCCTCGTCAAGCACCCAGCTTGAGCGGCTCCTTCCATTTCATGGCAGGCATTGCTGATTTGATGAAGCTCGGTCCTGCCCTTCCTGAGCCCGTTCTTTTGGACCCTTTGCTGTGGTGCGTACAGTTACAAGGGTCCCGCTGTGAGCACCTCACAGAGAGGGTGTGTGGTGATTGGCAGCGCCCCTTGATTGGCGCAGCGCAAGACCGGTAACCACGTGACGGCACGGCCCATCTCAGTCCCGATGCTAGGTCTGTTTTGAGCGGGTGCGGCCAGCAAACAACTGAGCAATCTTTGGAGGCCAGTTTCCTTCGAAGGGACGCAATCCGTTTAAAGAATTGAGCAGCGCAAGGAGTGGATGCGCTCAACAGTCCATGTGTGTCAGAGTGAGTCAAGGGTGCGCCAACCCAGCAGGGTCAGGTCAGGTCAGGTCAGGTCAGGTCAGGTCAGGTCAGGTCAGGTCAGGTCAGGTCAGGTCAGGTCAGGTCAGGTCAGGTCAGGTCAGGTCAGATGAATATCATGCAGAGTCAGATCAGTGTGCGTTGCATCAAAGCCAGGCACGCACGTCTGCGGCTGAATCGCCACTTCAAAGGCTCAGCCCCAGGGCGCTCGCCACATCAGCAACAGGCGCCGCGTATGCACCCGCAGCCGGCAGCCCAGGCGTTTCGCATCCGGCGCCGCAAAGCGCGCGCAGCAGCACCACCGAGCCGTGCAGCCCCGCGGGTGCGGTCACGCCGCAGGTGGCCAGGGCCTCGTGCAGCTGCCGGGCAGTCATCACCGGGGACCCCTTAGGCGCTGACGACTGCTCCCTGTTTTGCCCCCCGCCCCTGCCGCCGTCCTGGAACGCACTGCTGCTGCCGTTGCTGCCACTCCTGCTGCCGCTGCTGCTACGGCCGCTGCTGCTGGTGCTTCCACTTGTGTCGGCGCCCTGCAACGCGGACGCCCGCAGCGCGCAGGAGACGCGCTCTGCCAGCCCGGGCCGGGCATCCAGCTGCTCCAGCAGCTGCCGCTGCACCTGCGTCACCATTTTGGGCGGCGACCACATGCAAGTCAGCAACAATCAGCACAAAAGGTGCGCTGACTAGCGAGCCACGCGTGACTAATAAAAGCGAAGCTCGTCCACATTTTGTACGCACAAGAGTCTACGTAGTACGCCCATGTGGCTGCCTGCATTGGCGATTCTGTGGGCCGCTCGCGAGCCGGCGCACCTCACTGGGGTCTGAGCCCGGGAACGCCGCCGCGTCTGCCTCCATCGCCTTGAACGTTGCCTCGTCAGCGCCATCGAGCTCAAAGCGCCGCCCGTTGATAGACAGCTCCGCGCCGATCTGTTGTGGGATGACAGCGCATGGGAGCAGCGCGTTGGAGGGCTTTGAGGCTTTCTTGCTTCACCCACATGGAGCAGACGAGGCAGGCGGCTCCATTTGTTTCTCCTCAGCTCCGAGATTGCATAAGTTGTGTCAACAAGGTCACAGGCGACAATGTAGGCGGTACCTAGGTCATAGGGGAACGCGTGCCTGCACAGCCGATGCCTGCCCTGGCGCCCACCTTCATGTCCTGCGGCCCATAGCAATCCGACGCGCCGCCCCCTGGACGCCGCACGCGCCCGCGCTCGGCAAAGGCGCCGCCCGGCAGGCCGCTGTTGGTGCGGCGCGGCTCAAAGACTGAGAGGGTGTCATCCTCCAGGAAGAGTGACACCACGAACCTGGGGTGGAAAGTATGGTGGGGATGCTTGTTCGAGGTAGCGTCAGCGCCTGAGGCGGCCCCGCCCAGTCTGCAGCAGGAGCACCACATGGGAGAGCCCTGGGCTCCCTCATTGATGTTGCAGCACAGATCACTCTGACCCCAATCCCACGCAAAGGCCTATGCGGCTCCCAAAATGGGCGACCGCTGTGCGCAAGCGGCCAGGCCGCACCTCCGCTCCCCATCAAAGGCATTGAGCAGTGGCGCCCTCATGGCAGCTGTGAAGCGCAGCGTCTTTCGGTCGTTGGCCGACCACTTTGCGTAGTCGCGCGGCACGGCACGTGGAATCTGCATGTACGCGGTGGGGAGGGGGGGCAGAAGTGGTGGGGACGTGAGGCAGAGGAATGCAGGTTGTGTTTTAGGGGCAGGGGAACGGAGGGCAGAGTGGAGTGCAGAGCCAAGTGCACGGCTGTTTTGACATTTGTTTTGCGCATCTATCTATCTGGTGGGTCTCCTTTGCTTTGGACCCGCTTTAAGAGTTTCATACGCCATGCGGGCCCCTGGGAAATCCCCATGATGGCATTCCTCGTAATTGTGTTGTGCCGCACCAGGCGCAGAGCATTGGCCGAGGTGTCCGCGTCGTCTCCAATGGACAGCTCGTTGGGCGGCACGACGTCTGGCGGCCGCCTGACACGACACTCAAAATCGACCTACGACATTAAGCCGCAGATTCTTGAATAAGGGGAATGAGGATGGCAGCTTTGCCCAGCAGTCTTCATCAAGCAAATATACACACAAGTGTGTGCTCTTCTAGGCACCAGGTGCTGCACCAACCTCAATGGGGTGCAGCGCATCCGCGCCAGGCCCGACGCTGTGGCGCGCGCAGTACCAGCGACGCGTATAGTCGTCCATCCCTGTCAGCAGCACAGGGCGGTTGTACACCTGGCCAAGGGTGGTGCACATGGAAGTCCATACAGCAGGGCACAGAGCGGTGTCAGTGGATGCTGAGGGTTTGGAAGGGGTGCTGGGCATCATCCAATATACAACACAGGATTCACACTGCCTGCGTCAGCTCCTGGCAGGCCGTGAAAAAGAGCTCATGAGCGCTCGCCCTGAGGAGGTTAGAACGGGTGTCCAGCCGTGCAGGAAGGCTAGGCACGCGTGCGCGGGCGTGCGGCTGGCGCGCAGCTGCCTATGCCAACCCCGTCATGAGCGGCTCACGCACGTTGACGACGGCGCCAATGTGGAGGTCGTCCTCACAGTAGAAGCCGCCGCCCGCACTAGCACTTTCTTTGCCGCTTGCTGGCACTGACCGCGGGCTTGGAGGGCGGCAGCCTGTGTGGGTGGCGGTGTACTTGAATGCGTGAGCAGCTGCCGTGGATGTTTCTGGCTGTGTGTACGATCACACAAACACCACAATGCAAGTCTGCCAACTCTCCATTGCACAGCGAGCGGGGCCAAGAGCTGCGCGGCGTGCGCACCGACAGCGGGCAGCGACCGCGGCAGCTTGCGGCGCTGCAGCAGGCGGGGGAAGGGGTCCTTGCCGCCCTTCTTGGGCAGCCGCTCCACCACCTCGATGGTGCCGTCTGCCAAGTAATAATGGACTGTCAGCGGCACCAGCTCACCGCCAGAGCCGCCAGTAAGGGCGGCGAGCGCGCTGTTGCGCCCGGCGGCGGCGGTGATCGCCTGGGGCGAGGCCTGCGGACGGGCGAAAACACAGGCATGCGTGGCCGCACGGCGGGTGTGTGGGTTCTCAACTTGAGCTCGCACATGTGCCAGCAGAGAGCTCGCACTTTCTGCCGTGCTTGGCCAGGACATCAACAATGCTTGGGCGCACACCGCTGTGTTTGCACTCTTCAAGTGGTGAAGGTCGGCATGTGTCCATGCCCTCGCCTGTGCGCTCACCTGACCGGCGCTGCTGTGTGTACCAGTGTTGTAGGCAGCGAAGAATCTCAGCACCTTGGAATCGTTCTCCAGCCACCTCCGCACGTCGGCGGCGCATGGCGCGGCGGCAGAGCCGGCCAGCGGCTCGAGGGCGCCGCGGCGCTCCCCCTGGTCGCTGCGTGCCTGCAGCTGCGCATCAGGCGGTGCCAGCCAATCGAGAGCATAAAAATGCACTCATGTCTCATGGGCCCTCCATCACGATGAATTGCAGCTCTTGCACCCAGCGAAAGCACTCAAGCTTCGCCAAACCTGCCTCAACGCAGCCGCCCATGCGTTTGCGCACAGCACCCGGGCGGCTCCCGCAGCGCCGTGGATACCAAATCGGCCCCTGCTGCTGGCGGCCCCTCGCTGCCCCCTGGGGCCTCCCAGCCGACCTGCTGCTTTCTGACAACGTCGTAGGGCCCCTCAGGCCACGCCTCCTCCGGCCCGGGCGCCGCGCCCTGCTCCTCAAGCCAGCGGCGCGTGGCGCCGTCGCAGCCCAGCAGCCGGAACTCGCGCCCGTACAGCGCCAGGCGCCCGCCCACCGCCAGGTCGCGCCACCCCAGGAAGCCGCCGCAGCCGCCGGGCCGAGGCACCCTGCGAGCGCGCCGCGGTGCGTGCAGCTGATGAAAGGCTCGCCCTGCTCCAGCTCCGGAGCCCGAGAGGCTCGCCCTGCTCTCCGCCGTGTCCATGCGTGGCTGCGGCCTCCGGACCCTGGCTTGTGCCTGTCCGCCTTCCCAGCAGCCGTGAGCTAGCTAGACCCCTGCCTGGTCATCCCAGGCAGGCTGCACACCGCAGGCTGCGCACCGCGAGCGCGGCGCGTCCGCACCTGTGGCGCCTCAGGAACCTGCCGTGGGGCAGGCCGCTGTTCTCCTCCCGCGGCTCCACCACCTCCAGGCTGCCATCCTCCAGGTAACTAAATTTCAAAACATATTGAAAGGTTGGAGGTCGAGATGCCGGTTTTGTATGCCTGAGGTACATTACGAGGGCAGTGCTTTTTTTCCATCATCAGCCACAATCATCCCTCCTACCCTTACAGGTCCTGACCAGAAGGTGACAGGGTTGACGGCGCTCTTGCAGTGAAGCTTATGAGTCCAAGCGGACACGCGCAGTCTTGTTGTTTGCTCACAGGTGGATGCAGCAGCGCCGCACGCGCCAGGGCTCGAGGGGCGTCCCAGGCAGCTCCTCCCTAAAGCACGCCCGAAAGCGCAGCACCTGCCGACGGTGAGTGTGCAGGAAATATGCAGGCGAGGCGCGAGTGTTGTTGTTTCGGCTGACTCACTGGCTGGCGCTGTGGGCCAACGCGGCTCTCCTGCTCGCAAACGCGTCAATCCCTCGGCCCTGCCTGCCGCGGGTGTCGCGAGATCGTGCGGGGCGCGGACGGCCGCTGCCGTTGCCTGGGCTGCGCACCGCACCTTGCCGTCAAACGCAATCCACCCGGGCACCACGCGCGGCTGCTGCGGGCTGTTGATGACTGCGCCAGGCGCGGTGGAGGGGCGCGCGGCCGCCACAGGTGCCGGTGGGACACCCCACTCCTGCCCGCGCACTGCTGCACCAGGTGCGGGCCCGGCCAGTCCCCCGCCGCCGAAGGCTGCTTGCTGCTGGGCGTTGGAGCCGGCAGGCGCTGCGCTGCCCGCGGGGACTGCAGCTGCTAAGGTCACCCCCGACGTAGCCTGGAAAGACGGCGGGCGGGGGCACGCAACCAGCGAGTGCGGGGATCCGCGGGGTGCGATGTGGCTCAGCATCGGGGTTCCTCGAGCGCTCCGTCCCACTGCCACACCCACTTGCGCTATAGGTTGGCACATGCCCGTATCATCAGGCAGCACCATCAACAGCAGCATTATAGCATGATTTTAATTGCTGCTGCTGCTGCTGCTGCTGCTGCTGCTGCTGCTGCTGCTGCTGCTGCTGCTGCTGCTGCTGCTGCTGCTGCTGCTGCTGCTGCTGCTGCTGCTGCGGCGGCGGCAGCGGCGGCGGCGGCGCACCTTATCCATCAACCTGGGGATGCCGCCCACAAACTGGCACACCTGCCTGCGCGGCCTGGCATCTTCCTGTGGAGACGTGCGGCGGCGAGGGCTCCCTTCGCTTCGCATGGCAGCGCCGGCCTGGGATAGCCCTTGTACACGCTGGCAAAACAGCGCACGCCACGGTGCTTTCGCTGTCACCGACGCGCGCCGCGCGGCAGCACGCACTCACTTCGGGCCAGTGCACCGTGTTGCCTGGTAAAAACGGAAGGGCTGAGACTTGCTGACTGCTCCACATGGCGGCCCCGGTAAGTGAGCGGTACAGTAGGCGATGATCTTGACAAATTATAGTAGCGGTCCTACGAACAGTCGATTGCTCGCGAAATCTATTATTCATGCTCCTATCGTGGCTATAGCGTTGCGGGGTTTCAGCTCTCAGGACTTTCGATGGTGTGCTTGCATGTTGACTGGCTGTCTTGTAGGTTGACCATGTCAGCTGCCGCTCAGACCTGCCACCCAGCGGAGAGCAGAGGGAGAGTCATCTATTTGGCGTTTGCCTGCTTTGCCTGTTTGACAGCTCGCTGGGTGACACGCCAAATTCCTGAAAGAGTGTGGGCTAATGTCAACCTCTCAACCAGCCAACACGTATGTGCATTGGTTGTTGTTGAGTTTACTGCATCAGACCTGTTCCGATATCAGCAGGATTTTTCACATGAATCAACCCCACACGTGCCCATAAATTGCTTATTGCTGGGCTGTGGCTCAGCGGACAGCTGGAGCTTGCGCCATTCTGGCTCACTGGCTGACCATCCCTTGGCAGTGTGCTTGAAGGGAATGCATACCCTGTAAGATGTTGGTGTTTATCAATATGTAGTTGTGGCCGAAGTATGTGCAAGCCGTGACCCGGGGGAGTTTGAGCTGATTGTTGCGCTTTGCGCTCTGCTCATCTGCTGCCACTGGCCTCCAAAGAACGGGTGAAGTAGACACCACGCCGCGCCAGGACCAAGAAGGTCTCAGTGACGTTTTCCTCGCCATCCATATTACGCTGCACTGACATTATCACTGCGGTAGCAGATCACGCGCGGGATCCGCCACACCGGTAACGAAAGTAGCGGTATGGACGAGCTCATACTCCAAGAGGGTAAGCTCTTTATACCAGAAATTGGCCGCGTATCGAGTTTGCGGCAACACTGCCGCAGTGCTAGCCCGCTGCGTGTGCTGTCATTGCCGCTGCAGTGCGCACCGTGCCGCCGCCGACTCCATATGGAGCAGCCGTGCAGCTACACGCGGCGCCAACTTGTTGCAGCCTCTTGCGTCGTCCCACTCCAGGTGATGAAGACGTGCAGTACATCTTGGTGGAGCTGCCAGATGACGCTCCGGCCTCACTCGACACCCCTGGAACCAGGCTGCAGCTGCAGGTGCAGACGCTTGGAAGCAGCACACGCATCCTTGTCGTCCTCTTCGTACAAGGCGTCACGCTGCCTGCTTTGATGGTTGGGTGCATCGTGTGTCGGATCCTCTGTGCACATGCTGCTGCATTGATGGGACAGAACGCTGACGCCCCAATACCTTTCACAACCGCAAGGGCCTTGAGACAGAGGAACCCCTGCTGCTGGACGCAAGCGGGAAGGTGGTGCTGCGTGGTCGCTACCAGGACACACTGGGCTCGATACTTGTCATGGCGCTCGGGGGCAACAGCGATGACCAGGCCCCAGCTGTTGACGAGCCACCTGGCCAGCAGCAAGCAGCGGCTGCAACAGCAGACAGTGAGGAGAGAGGAGCTGGAACGGCAGGGAATGGCGGCGAAGCAGGCGAGATGCAGCAGCAAACGGAGCAGCAGGAGCAACAGGCGCAGCCGCAACCAGAAACAGGTGCACGGTATCTCTGTCACCTTGAGAAGCGGCTTGTGTTTGTGACACCGCATGGTGTTGGTGGGAGCTAGCGCGGATGCTGTCGCGCTGCATCAAACTTGAGATGTTGCAACTTTTGTACATGCAATTTGAGTGCTCGTCTTGCCTCATGTACATTACAAAGCGTAGCCGCATTGCAACAGAGTGCAGGGCCGCTGACGCATGCAACAACATCGAATACATCACAAGCAGTGATAAAGGACGGGTCAACAGTGCTAGCAATCTTAGATCAGCAACAATGTTGGGCAATGCAACGGCGTTTTTTGAAATCATCAGAAGCAGAGGCTATCAGAATAGTGTGCTTGGGAAAGCCCCCGCCTGCAGCAATGAGAGGTGGCCACCATCACCCACTGTGATGATTGCCAACAAATGGCTGGCAATGACAACAGCCTTCGCTGGAGGCAAACGAATGCAGGCTGCAGATTCGTGGCCTCGAGCTCGCCTTGCAGAGATTTCACCACCTGCTGCCTGCTGCCTGTATACACCCTGACCCAAGCTCTGTGTGGAGCAACCGCAGCAGGAGCGCACGTGCGACTCCGCCTGCAGCGCAAAGACTCGCCAACTCAGGCGACAGGCACAAGGATCACGCGGCAGCTGCAAGCCATTAGCATAGCGCCTTTGACGCCTCCCACCACGTGTCCCACGCCTCGTACAACCGTGTGTGCGCCGTGGGGTACCGCTGCCGCAGCTCCGTCGTGTTCCAGAACCAAGGCTTGCCCGGCTGCGAGAAGTGCACCACCTTTGCCGCCGCCCACAGCTCCTCCTGCCCCACGCGCCCCTGGAAGCTGCTCCAGACTGGGTCGCGGTCGGCCTCCTGCCAGTGCTGGCTGACGGCCAGCAGCTCCCCGCCCGGCAGCAGGGCGGCCTCGTCTTTGAAATCGCTGTTCAGCAGGTCCATGTCGAACATCCCGTTTGCCAGGCGGGGCGGCGCGCCGTCCGGGAAGTTGCGGTCCTTGAGGCGGTGCCAGAGGCGCTCGCTGGGGGTGATGACCATGAGGGCTGGTCAAGAATGGGGGGTAATGATAGCATGGAGAGTGCGCGTAGCTTAAGGTGAGGAGGCCCGCTGTGTGTGCGTGTGTGTGTGTGTGTGCGTGCATGCATGCGTGCGTGCGTGCGTCCGCGTGCGCGCGTCCCCGCGCATGTGCTTGTGTGCTGAAGATGATCAGTTGCGTGATGCAGATGCCCATGTTCACGACAGGCACGGTGTTTGCCCGCGCGCTGTGGCTTGCAGGTCTTCTGAACAGGCCGTCAGGCCATCTACCGCTTCTGCACCAGCCGCGGCAGCGAAAGGGCTGGGTGCACCCGGCCCACAATCGCCCTCGGACCTGCCACCTACCGCTGGTGAACTTCATCTGCAGGCCGGCATATGATCGAGCACCGACATGAGCCCCCTCCTTCTCGCAACCCTGCTTTGGCTTGCCAGGGTCCATCCAGTAGGCGCGCGGCGCCCACAGGTCAGCGGCGGGCAGCTGGAACAGGGAGTCTAGGTGCTGCTTGACGAGGGCGTCCCCGTCCAGGTAGATGACGCGCGCGTAGTCCGTGAGCGCAAAAACGTACAGCTTCGACATGCAGCCATTATACATGCCCTCGTCGTTCTTTGGACCCGCCAGCGGCGGCGACTCCACAATACGCACGCCGCGAGCCTCGAGGGCGGTGCGGTGGATCGGCCGCGGCACAAAACTGGCTGGCACTATTACCACGCGGTCTGCAGCGGGGTCGGCACCCAGGCGCGCCAGGCGGTCTATGTTGATGATCACGGAGCACATGTAGATGTCACGCGATGCATAAAACACGTACGCGCGGCGGCCGCTGCCCTCGCGCTGTGACCCCCAACGGCGCCAGGCGTCGAGGCCTGCACAGTTGATGGTGCATGCACAGGTTCGGCAGCGGGAGATTATTGTACTTGCAATAAATATCAACATTAATGTTTGCCCAAAAGCTTCTGGACTGCCCTCTGAAGCCCGTACTTGCCTCCAAACGTCTGATCTGCTGAAGTGTCGGAATTGACACCAGCGAACGCCACGACTCCGAGGGCGACACCCAATGATACGATAAAGACTGGTATCAACAACAGCAGCAGGCCCCTGTTAAGCTTGGCCCGGACGAGGTGCCTTTTCGCGGCTTTGTCGACGCCCATCGCGCCAAGATCGCCGCTGGCTGGCTTCAATTTGGTATGCAACATGCGTTCAATGACTCCAGTCTCCTTTCAAACTTGTCACTGGGCCTACGGTATTAGCGTGCGCATCTTGCAATTAGTCATCATGTACCTGCGTGCGTCCGCCACCAGTGGTCGGGTGCCGCACTGCTGCGCTGCAACGCACTAACAGGGTGCAATGCATGGGTGTCTGGGAGGGGAAGTGGTCACAGAAACCCAATAGCCTACACAAGCGTGCGGGCTGACGACGTTTTGCACCGTGCCAACAGCAAGCCGTGCTGGGCTTCAACAGGAGGAAGAGAGTGGCGACGTATGTTGGGCAGCAAGAAACACTGGACAGTGGCGTTGCGAAGTGTTGTTAATACAAGTATCCAAAATGACAATAAAGTTTCCAGGACTGCATAGCTAAGAGCTTGTGCTTGACAGCTGCCCTGAGGCCCTAATGGCGATAGGCCGCGCCTCACTGCACGCCTTGCATGGCCCCTGGTCACCTGCCTCAGCAATGGCCGCCTCAGCCACCGCAGCCGCCGCGTCAGCCTGACCCACTGCAACCTCTTCGCCACCACCACTGTCGCGGCAAACGCTGGCGCCGTTCGCCGCTTTCAAGCCGCTGGTCGCCGCCGCACTGCCGCCGCTGCTGCAGCCGCTGCCGCTGTGTTGATGAAACAGGGCCGCATGAAGTGGGATGGGTGCCACTTCGCGGCGG